TACACATGGCAGTAAGTCCAGGATGATCGTCCTGCAGGTTGATGGCAGTTGTTGAGCTGCAAAAAGGTCAAATATGAAACAGCAGATCAGCTGTGTTCATTTTTTTAATTGTCCAACAGACCCCACTCTTTTCTTTGTGATTCGGCACAGTTTGCATAAGATAATGTGCATCTTTGAGCAGCCCTTTGCCTTATTGTGCCATTACAAATTTGGCAGCATCAAGCACAATTTTAAATCACCCCAGTGTCTGTTGGGACAGCAGCCACAGAAATGAGCTGTGCACTTGAAATGACACAGGACATGTTTCCTGTAGCAGAAGCACAGAGACCCTCTGGGAATCTCTGTATCCCCTACTGCAGTGGCCCAGAAAAAGAGCCAAGCCATCACTGCTTGACATTCGGGTTTATTAGGGTCTTTGGTTTTGTTTGCTGTGGTGTTCACTTTTATTCCCTGGTGTAATACGCCACAGCGCAATTGCAAAATAGCCATGAAAAAGAGTACCAAAGCAGAGTAAATTCCCGGTGCAGTATAAACATGCTAAAACCGTGTGACTGTGATTCACGGTTACTGTGATATGTTCCTAAGAGGCAGAGGTTAATGGGTATGATTAGTTTGTTCTGGGATCGTTAAGAGTACTTGCAAATGAACTCGAGACCTGTGCTGCTGCCGAGAGGTTGACAAACGCTCATCAGTGCCTTGTGCAGGATACATTAGTTAGGGCTCAGCATTTGATGCTACTGATTTTTTTCAAAGTGAGCTAAATATTGTATCAATCACAAATTTTGCAATTCATTTGCAAGTACCTCTAATGATCAATTTCACTGATTGTACAAAATAATAATAATAATAATAATAATAATAATAATTCAGATGAAAGCCAAAATAACAATGGAGTGTAATGAAATGACAAATCAAAGTGACAGGTTAAGTAACGTTAAAGCAATCGCTGTATCACATAGTTCTGTGTTTACAAACGGGACTTTCCATTTGCACAGCGTTCTGCCAAATGGCCTGTCGATTTCTGCAAGCACTGCCTTCTGTTCCAGCCTGTACATCTTCTCCCACAGAGGACATTTATTTCAAAAGAAAAAAAACAACAACGATAACTCTTCTCTCTGTGTATATACGAAAAACAATACATCAGATTGATTATTCTCGGTACCCTACCCAAGGGAACGGAACAGCAGAAAGTCTTCTGCACGATTTACAGTAGTGCTATTGAATTAATTCTCAATTAGACTTGGAAGTGTTTGCAGCTGTTAACATTCAGGGAATATTTCGCTTTAATTTCAAATGAGCTGTGTTCATTGCGAGTGCGTTACTCTGAGAGGCCTGGAGACACAGGGGTGGCGGAGCAGGAAGCGGAGAGCGAGGCTGTGTTCCCCAGCTCGCCGCCCAGGCGGCTCGAAGTCTTGCACGTTCCCAGTGGTGACAGTTCAATTATTGATGTCGCACTTATCAGATTAATGGGATGGTTTGGGGGCTTTCTGTCCCCCCCGTGTTTGACAAAATGAGGGATTTAGAAAAGGTCAGTGAGTGACATCCATAGTGTTGAAAAGGCCACAGCAAAATTTTCTGTGAAGCGTGTGTCTCACTCGGGGACAAGCGCTCGGCTGGGGAAACATCGTGTGATATGCTAAGCAGGGTGGTGAGAAAATATTGTGATCTGTTTCCAGCGACACACGGATGGGGTTGTGCTGTAACAATTAGGGCATGGAGTGCAGGCAGGCGAGTAATGCAGGGCCACTGCACATTGCAGACAGGACACATATGGGTCCTGTTTGTCTAGTTAGCTGTTCCCCGGCTGGCTTTGGCCTCCGCTCAGCGCTGCAGGGGGATCGCTCTCAGCGGCAGGGAAGCTGAACTCTTCTGGACCAGAACCGGGGGGAGCTTGTGGTCCTCGGGGGAGTTGATAGCCGGAAGCGATGCTGGCTGCTGGAAGGGTTCTGTAAGGAGAGGTTAAGAACAGAAAGAGAGGCTGCAAACGCCACCTGTCCGACTGCTTCTAGCTTCTCACCCACCTCACCCTGCCCTTTCCTGCCATCGGCGGCCGGGCTCTGGAGGGAAGGGTCAGGCAGGGGCTTCCCACTTATGACTCTTCTTGCGTCTGGAGGTCCTGGGTGAGCTACAGGGATGGACGCCCCGCCGTGCACACCCAGTCTCCGAGCACGAGCCGGTGGCACTGCAGAGGGAGAGGCGTGTGCCACGCCGTGCTCACAGAGCTTCTGTGTTGAAGCCACGGCTCTTTGCAGCCTCTTATTGCCTCTAGAATGCAGCCCAGCGGGACGGCTTGTTCTGCAGCACATTACCAGGGGACTCTGAGATCACCTTGCACATGGTAAATACTATGGTAAATACTGGAGGTGTTTTATTGTCTCTGGAATTTGCCTCTGGGATTGAGATGGAGAAGTGAGTCCATTTTATCAGTCTCAGCAGCAACAGACCAAAACACTCCCATCCCCTAATTGCTTGTTAAAGTGACAGTCGCCCTGGCTTCCTGTCTCTTTCCCGCTCTTGTTGAACAGTGAAAGCAGCGCGTCGCGCCAGTCAGAGAGTGACTGCCAGCTTCAGGGCTCTGCTTATCAGCGTCGATGTATTCAAAATTCCCACCAGCCTGTTGAAAAATGCAGTCTCTGTACATTGTGCATTGCTCTCTTTTCATATATTTAACCGCAGACATACAGGAGCTCCTCATGAATCGAAATTTGCAGACGTTTAAGTCTTAGACTTCTTGTTTAAGTATTAGTGTAGTAACAAGATTAGAGGCCACTGATTCAGGCTGTCCAGCAGGTTTCCAGGGGTCTTTAAATCACAAACAACACAAAGTCTCATGAAAAGAACCATCTTAACTGATTATTTTCATAGCCTCACTAATTGTAGCTGAAGCTGGCCACTTGAACTATAGGCCTTTGGCTACTGACTATCAGATGGGATATATGGGGCACTGGGCCTCCTGTCACCTGTTACCTGTCTTTGGTTCTTCTGGATCTTGCTACAGGGGATCTAAAGAGCTGTAAAACACCCCTGCTGGGATTTGGCACCTGTGAATTAAGGCGACTTGACAAATGAGTTAAGACGCCTTAAATGTACAGTATGTGTGCAGCTGTGGGATTTCAGGAGGCATTCCGTGTTGCGTTAAAAACGGGAACCTGTGTATTTGACACACTCAAACAACTGAAACACGGACAGCTCCTCGAACCCGCGGCACTGGGGATCCATCCACCACCAGGGGAAAAGAGGCAGCACCTGCCCAAGCCTGCGAGTGAATTCTGACTTACTGAATGATGCACAGGTGTTTCCACAAATCTCCATTGTCGTTTCTGTTATTAGGGAATGTGGAATTTGCCTCTCTTCTGTTTTTTTAATAACTTGTGTAGGGAATAAAAAAGTGAGCTAAATATGGCTGCTTCTGAGAAGCTCTTTATCTTCCTGCCCCGGGTGTCAGCTGTTGGTCTATCACGCAGCAGCAGGCTGGATTAAAACCAGGGAATTGGTCACACGTGCTCCTGCTTTCTCCAGAAGTCAGTGTTGCGTGCCTTCTGATAGGTTTGAGTAGCGCGCACAATAATATTGATCTGGCAGTTTCCTGGTCTCTTTTTTCCTGTGTGTGGAAAAGCTATTTCCATTCCAGACCATTATTACAGCGGGCTGCAAATCTGAATGGGGAAATTGAAATCAAGTGTGCCTATAAAACAATCAGGAAAAAATAACACTGCTCTTGGCGCTTGTGTTTAAAAGAATATATATTTGTCTGCAGTATATTGCCAGTGCCTTGAAAATGCATCACCCCTGAAAACTCAATTTCAATAATGTGCATGCCCCTTATCGCTCAGTTTTTAGTACATAACATATCCTACGTGTTATAGCTGTAGAGAGAGGTTTCAAAATTAATAGGTTGGCTGTGGTCTAGAGTGCTGGTTGTGTGATGCTGGTTCAGCCCCACTCTTGGTTTGACTTTGGTTTAAATCTGCTCAAGAATTTGTGCAATAATGTGGACAAGTTGCAGAGCCTTGTCGCCACAGCACAGAAACAGCACGGCTGCACTGCTAATCTTGGAATGTGAACAATTTTGTAAATAGGATTGGATTCCTTCTTTGCTGTTTAATCAGCCTGGTTTCCCCCGCTGGTAAGATTTTTGGAAGGATGGTTTGCCGCATTGCATCACTTGGTCTTGTTGCTATCCAGGGGCTTTACTGATTAATGTCAGGGCTGTGCGAAGTCGAGTGTTTTTCATCGCATAATAAATGTAATTAGCATCTGAGATGAATGGTTCATTTTCTGCACATATGATATACCGTTAAAATAGCCAAAGAGACATTCTCTGGCAGAATGAAACTGGGAGGGCACCCTGGACATGCGTACTGAAACACTGGCTGTAGTGTCCGAGATTTAGCTGCTGCCTGGAAGCTCATGGCTTCCTGGAACTGCGACGAGCGCTGCGTGGGTCTGCCTTGTTTCTCTGTTGTTCTTGCGTCCCCACTGTTCTTACGTTCTGTAGCACATAATGTTCTCTCTGCGTGAACACTCGCTGCAGATTCCTCCTTTGTTACAATCAATTAACCGTGCTGTGTCTTACCCCTACATTTGTCGGGTGTTACGATCTGTTATCTCTTGCCCTGAAGAGACCAGGGGGGTCCAAGCTCTCCTGGCGCTGCCCTGTGGAGCAGCCCTGCAAACAAGGTCAGCTGATTTCAAATCAGAGGCCTGGAGGGCATAGAGCAGGTGTCTCCAGCTCAGTTCCTGAAGGGCCTTGTTTCATCTGGTTTTTGTTCCAACCTGAGTAGTCAATTAAGCAATTGACCTAATTATTTTTTTCTAAATTTAATACACTAAAGGTACAGTTGCCCCTAACTCACCTCGGAGTCCGGTCGGAAGTGTCACAGTCAACGATGCTAGACGTTGAACTTGAGAAGGAGGGAGGGGCCTCTGGCCCCCCAGCAGCGGGGAGTGAGACCCCCAGCCCCCCCGGGCCCAGAGCTGACTCGCTCCTCTCTCCCCAGGCTCCTTCATGATGGTGAACGGCTCGGGCAGGGCCTCGGGGCAGAAGGCCCACCTGCTGCTGCCCACGCTGAAGGAGAACGACACCCACTGCATCGACTTCCACTACTCGCTGTCCAGCCGGGACGGCTCCAGCCCCGGGGCCCTCAACGTCTACGTGAAGGTGAACGGGGGGCCCCAGGGGAACCCTGTGTGGAACGCCTCCTCCGCGGGCGTCACCGAGGGCTGGGTCAAGGCCGAGCTCGCCATCAGCACCTTCTGGCCCAACTCCTACCAGGTGAGCCCCCCTCGCCTACCTCCCCTCTGGGCGTAAGGGCTTCTTTTCTGTTCCAAACATTCATGTGCACGTCTCTGGGGGTCCTTCTCCTGCTTGAGAGTCACCCCAGGAAAGCTCTCAGCACTGCAGCGCCTCCAGGAACCATGTGGTAGTGTGGCCCCTTGATCAGCCGGAGCAGCGGGGGGCGCTGGTGTGTACCCAGCTGGAAACTCACTGGCATGGACTGGGATGTATATTGTTCTGCCATTCTGCTGTATGATGGCTGTGCTGTTACAGGAAGAGAACTGTTTGGGCAGCAGCATGAATATCAAGCTATTTATTTTAGCTTTAATGATGTATTTGCTTAGCTCACAACAGCATCTGGTATGAAAATAATTTTATGTGTTTTGGAGAAATCTCTGTTTCGTATACAACTTGCTATCCTTGCGTTAACAGCTGGAGGTATTTTTTTTTCAAATTATGTGTTAGTTAATAATTCTTAATTGATTTAGATGCCTTGCTTGCTTCAAAAGTAAGAGTTTGTTTTTAGAAGGAATCGTCATCGTTAATAGATTTGTTTTTTAAAAAGAAAGAGCCATTTTTTTTCTAAAAGTGATATATTATTTAATTACAATTAGTCAAATTTTATATAATTGCATGTTTTCCTTTGTGAAAGCACATGGTGGTACCTTGTTCCATGCGTTCAGTGAGCTTTTCCAAACTCCCACAGCTCCTGTCAAACGTCACTTCAGTGGCCTCGCTCTTGCCCACACAGTTCCCACTGCTCCGCGTGCTCAGCGCAGCGTGAGACACAGCGTCCGCAAGGCCTGAGCGCGCACCGCTCTCACTCTGGCTGCTGTGGGCTGGATCGGTAGAACTCTGCCCACTGTGGGCCGTGGCTGGGATTAGGAGACATGGATCCTAGTGCTGAAGCACTTGAAAGTCAGAGCAGAGCGGAGAAGTACGTCAAGGGTCCCAGGGCTTGTGACGGGGATACAGCTCTGAAACGAGAAAGAAACTACTTCAGTCTCTGGGTCCTAACAGGTGGCAGCAGAATATCACCAAGAATGGGCATTTGTTCTTTGAAACGACTTGTGTTGCCCGACAGGACGAGAGACAGAGCGGCCAGCTTGTAAATGGGCTGTATCGTCAAGTTTCGGGGGGATATGATTACAGCCCTGCCACCTCTCATTGCCCTGCTATGTCACAGAGGATGCTGATGCTGTGTGCTGTGTGCTATTATGCACTTAAAATGATGCCTTTAAGAAAAATCTCACAAATAATGTGTTTACTTGCTGAGAGGCAGCAACTTGCCAGTGTGAGGGAGGAGGATGCGTGCCGAAATCAGAGCTGCTGTCAGGAGCCAGGACTGTACTGCAGCAGTTCGCTGTCTGGCTCAGGCTCAGCCAAATGCACACATTTCGATGCCTAATATGCCGAAATACCTGACACCTCCTCCTGGTGGCTGCCAGCGATCGCTCTGTTTGGACAGCTGCAGCCGTTTTCCAAAACCAGTTTTACTGATAGCCGGGAGGTGTGAATTCTGCCTTTTCTGTCCGCAAATTGGCACCATTGACAGCTACACATACGAAAATCTATTAAACATTACTCGTCTTTTCAGGCTGTCAGCCTTGGCCCAAAGGGCCGATTTGGCCATGACGTCTGAGAAGAGATATAGACGTTAAAGTGGTCAGCAGGAGAATGCAGTTAAAAGAGCTACAGCAGAACAAAGGAAAGAAATCTACCTTGAAGCATGAAAAGTGAAGATCTACAGTGAATAGAACCATCGCTGTTTACAGCATTGCTCTGTTTGTTCTGGCTGTACACTACCCAGGAGTGCCAGGGGCTGAAGCCTTGTGAACGATCCTCACCCCAGGCCTTCCTCATTCTCAGCATGCCAGTCCCACACCAGCATCTTAGGGTTTGAACTGTGATGTCTGTGACATTGCCCACCGCTGACACTGTGCGATGTGCTATTTGTCATCAGGCTCCCATAGGAACCCCTGATGCTGGGTGCATTTGAAGGCGGAGTTTAAGTGTTTGTAAACTCAAGATGACTCCTCCACAGCTGTCCTTGAGTGGCTTAACACACAACTTTATACGCAAGTTTTTATAAGAGCAGTGAGTCGCATAAGTTAGCATACAGTGTGGTGCAGTTTTAGAGATTTCCTAATCTCTCTGACACTCTGAATTTTCTGGCAGATCAGTGTAGAATTAAACCCAGGCATCTCTCTGCCTCCAGATTTGTTGTGTTTGAGCTCCTCAGCTTTGAGGGATTTGAATTGAAAGTAGCTGACTCTAACACGCAGACAGCAGCAACCAGATTTCCTGAGCGAGTGGCCTGCAACTATTCTGCAAAACACAGGCGCTTGGGAAATTCAATCCTCTTTAAAATATGATTAACTGTTTAGCCGCTATTGGAAAACTTCTTTCTGATCTTACCCTTTTGCTGTGATGTGCACTGTTAACCTGAATTCCACTCCCTCTCTCTACTCAGTCTTTCCTTACTCTTCCGCAGGTCATATTTGAAGCCATGTCTTTGAAAGGCCACCCAGGGTTCATCGCAGTGGATGAAGTCAGGGTGCTTGCCCACCCCTGCCGTAAGTAGCCCTCCTGTGACCCCATACTTTGAACCGAATGTTCTACTTTCCCTCACCCCAGAAACAACATGGACAGCGGGACCATGTTCCAGGGGGTTTAGAGAAGAGGGGGTGTGGGAGTGATGATTGTAGGCTGGGGGAAATCTCTGCAAGCATGGCACAGAGCATGGCACAAGCATGGATCTGCTGAGGTACTTTAGCCAGAATACACAGTGGACAGCCAGTGGACAGTGCTGCACACTCCATTCCCGCTCTGTAAGGCTCCCCCTGCCCACTCAGCGCAGCACAGCTCCTGGTCAGTGGCCTTGGCTTGTCTGCAGGCTTTGCGAAGAGCTCAGTGAATGGGAATGAACTGACTGCTCTGCTCAGCTTTCCTAGCACTCTGTGGAATTTGCCTTTGGAGCGACTTAAAAAAGAAAACGCTCCTCGCAACCTTCCAGGCATCAACAAAATGTTTTTTTGTAACAATTTTTTAACAACAACAGTTGCCCCATCAACATTGCCCCAGATCCTAGATAATTGCATAATGTCCTCCGTGCCAGTGATGCCCCAGCAGGCTGGACTGTGCTTGTTTATCTCAGACTTTCTGCCACATAGGCCTGAGACTCGAGTCTGGGTTTTACTAATGTCAGACTCCTGTGTCTTAAAAGGCAGCGTAAAAAAAACACTTGAATATTATTAATATTTCTGGGTAAATTGACATTGACAAATTGCTGGTCTTGGAAGAAAATCAGATCTTTCTTCTAGTAATTTTAGCTCAACCCAATTAATTAAAGAGAGAACTATTAGAAAGTTAAGTAAGGCAGGTTGCCTGACACAGAGAGAAAGTAAAACACCGCTGGTACCCCTCTCCCGGCCCGCGCAGGCCCCCCTTGACCGTGTGCTCTATCTCTCTCGTCAATGGCAGGAAAGGCCCCCCACTTTTTGCGGCTGCAGAACGTGGAGGTGAACGTGGGGCAGAACGCGACGTTCCAGTGCACCGCCGGGGGCAAGTGGTCTCAGCACGACAAGCTGTGGCTTCAGGTCAGTCCCTCCAGCAAACTCATCACTTCCCTGATCGGGCCTGCTTAATCGTTTTCAGCTTCAGACAGGTGTCCTGAGAGCCGGGGCTGGGAGGTCCTGCTCTGATCCTGGCACTGTGCATTTGCCCACAATTGTATCTGCTACAGTAGTACCTGGCACTTGCATTGCAATCCACTGCAAGTCTTAATTTTCTTCCAGCTGATGCTTAATTATGTTCATCAGATGGGTCCATTAAGTAATTAAGGATTGATTCAGTAGAAACATTACCCGCTATAAAATTGTGCAGTGAGATTAGATTTAGGAGGGGGATTAGAATCTGCTTGCTCTGCTGCACTGCTTGAAGATGGAGAGGGGGTCCCCAAGTCCAGCCCTCACTGACCGCAGTCCACCAGGTGTTGAAGATCGATTCAGGCTATGACCTGCTCTAGAACTGTGGCACCTGTGTGTTTCCCATCTTTCCAAAGGTCACAGTGTCGTCTGTTTTTTTATGGGTTTGAGCTCCTAACTACTGGCATGAACTGATGCTCTGGGTACTGGCCCGACACTACACATCATGTGCACATCAGGTCTATTAGGTTGGCTGTTGAGTGAAATGTCTGAAATATTTTTTTTCAACAGGAAGGAGAGGTACAATGATCACACCTTTGATACTTCGAATAGTAATGATTAAGAATGATAACCGTCCTGCACCCGAGGGCAAAAGAAAACATTTTGCTGCTTTGGGGTCTAGTGAAGATCAGCGACTACAGTGACTGCTGATTGCATTTAGAACTGGAGTTCACGGCTCTCTAGGGAGTTGGGCTGTGTATGCTCTGAGCGCCCCCTGCTGGTCCACCAACACCACTTACAGCAGCAACCTGGTTTTGCTCTAAGGCCTGCCATCCCAGTGCTGACCAGCCTCAGCCTTGCTTGCCTCCTGAGTTCAAGCCAGAGAGTGGCAACGCTGCTGTTGACATGTCCCTCAGCAGCATCATAAAGCAGACAAACACAATACAACCCCAGTTACCGACAGCGGCTACCATCTTCTTTCTTTCCACCATACTTTCCTCACAACGTTCAATGTACAGCTGCTGCTCTGAGTGACAGACGTGGCAGCAAATGAGATCGCAAAACCAGCACAAGTCCTAATGACTGACAAAGCAAATGAAAGCATTACAGTGCTGTCAGTCATTGTCATTCAGACAATAAGCCAGAGAGAATAGACATGAATTGAAAACCAACCCTAGTGGAGATACGTTTCTTAATTTATTGATCAGAGAACATAAACACAGCAAGTGGTATTAACTGACATTCATCAATTTAGAAAATTGTATTTAAAAAAAATCATAATTTGTAATGTTTATAGATTAAATCAAATAGTACCAAGCCCTGGTATATGAGAAGCTCATAGATCACTCCCTGGCAAATTTCACAGACCAGCAGAAATTCGATTTCTGCAGAATCGCTCTGTTCTGTGGAAGCAGTTAAAAAGTCTGCTGAGTGGAAATCATACATTTAGATAAATAGCAATAGTAATATACTGTATAGTATCTTAATGATCTTTGAAGAAGTGTCCTTTGGATTCCAGATTTTTGCAGATCCTAGTCCCCTGCAGGCATTGAAGGGATTAGTGAGTTTGGTGTGCAGGGATGCGTTCAGCAGCTTAGGAGGGTGAGGAGAAGGGAGTGTGGAGGGTCCCGTCGTGACTAGAGATGCTCACGTGCTGCACGCTGTGCCTTCACATGTTTCAGCAGTGGAACGGTAAAGACACCGCGCTCATGGTGACCCGGGTGGTGAACCACCGGCGCTTCTCCGCCACCGTCAGCGTGGCCGACACTCAGCAGAGGGGCGTGAGCAAGTACCGATGTGTCATCCGATCGGACGGCGGATCAGGGGTGTCTAACTACGCAGAACTAATCGTGAAAGGTAAGGGTGGTAATAGTAGGTATTAACTATCCATCAGGCCCCAGCTGGGGTTCCGTGGGAAGCATTATCTGCACTAAAACCTTTCATTATTTCAGCCATCAGCAGCTGCCTGTGTTCTAATTTCTTTAATTATCTGCAAAGTTCTGCAGGCTGTAAAAAAATGCTGTTGGTTAAAAAAAAAACATGCCTGCACCTACAAAGGAAGCTGGAGATTTAGTTCCATCTTGGGGCTGTCTGGCTCGTTTCCAGAGACCCCCCACGCTCTCTCCCTCTCTTGGCCCTTTCGCACCCCGAAGCCAAGTGGGGCACCTGGCGGGACTGACGATTCCTGGCCCTGCGTTACAAGCGTGGCACGGCTCAGCTTGCCCTGGGTGACACTGCTCACGACAGGAGCCGGAGAGCAAGAGCAAGTGCCACAGCCACTTCCCTGCGCGCTCCACACAGCTGCTTGTGTCTGTAACGAGAGTGTCCTTGAAAAGAATGACTGTATCTCTCGGGAGGAGTCCGCCCCAAGGCGAGCCAACACAGAACTGCAGGCGGCCATCACTGTGACAGAGCCATGCTGGTGGTTATCAGATCGTTAACCTTCTGCTGTTTCTGCTTCTTGACCTGGGCTGCAAACACAGTATTCATCCCGAGAGGTTCCCGAGAAACTCCCGGTCACCCGGCCACCTCCCGCCCCGCCTCTGATTCTGCTCGTCCACTTGGGGTTCGGGCAGGGCCGCAGTGCATCGGCTGCACCGCACTGTCGTACTGGACGTGCTTTCATTTCTGTTAAATGCTCTCCCTGATATCGCGCACGCAAGTGCTTTGGTAAACGAGACTGTCATTCTGCAGACTACTGTATCCTCAGATCCTCCGTCCCTCCTGCTGTGTGGCTGATTGAGGTGAAACAGGTACGATTGCTTTTCGCAGGAAGTCTCGGCACAAGGAGTGAAGGTATCCTAACATCTGTGCAGTCAGAGCCTCTGTGGCCACACTGTGAGGGAGGATTATTCTTGAGCAGGATTCAGTGCAGTCCCCATTCTCTCTGTTACTTCTTGCTGCAGTGCCCTTGTGGGCAATCTAAAGGTGCAGTCAACAGAAAATCTGATACTATTACCTCACAGACCACCTACTGTATGACTGAGCAGACTTTAGACGTTTAGAAGTTGCTCAGCAATTCAAAATTAACAAGTCACACACATGTGTATCGCCCTCAGTGGTGTCCCCTCTGTGTTTGTGGCCAAGGAACCCCAAATAAACAGCAGCACTCCCCCAGCCCCCACAGTCTCCCCACTGGCACCCTGGATCCCAGCGGTCAGAAAATCCTTAGAAATAATATCAAGAGAGGCCAGTATCCAGTGATGCCAAGAGAGGGACTGAGGAGGCTTCCAACGCAGAACTGAGATCTTTTTAATTGCAGTCTGACAAACCAAGATCGGTTTCTGCCTCTCCAAGAGGCCTGTGTTAGTGTCACGGCCCTGCAGGCGTGCGGGTGTTAACGGAGGATGTTCCTGTTTCGAATTATGGAGGCGCAGGAGGAAAGTCACAGAAATATGAAGAAGTTGTTGGGTGGTGAAGATGTATGATGATAATGGTTGCTGTCGATGAGAACAGGCTGTGATTCATGATGGCTGGTTGTAGGTTGGGGCTCTTGTTTGGTTTTGTGCAAAGCATCTGTTTCCCTTGGTTTGACCTCGGGAATGTTTTCTTTTGGCTCTGTTATTTTTCAGCTAGAGAAATTTGCAGTAGAAATATAGATGTGGTAGAGGTAATAGTTACTCAAAGCATTTGTACAGTGAGCGATGAAGTACTGTAATGATGTGACTTTAGGCACTGTGAATGCCTATTTAGAAAAATGCACAGAATTTTACATTAGCGTTTATAGCTTTGTTATATGTGCTGCCATAGAACATAACATTAAATGTTATTGCTAGAGATTTCAGTCTGGTTTGGCTCTACTTTCAAAAACTCATTTGTTCTTTTTTTTAAGCCCAATGTGTACCATCACGAATAACATTTATGCTGAATTCACAGCAAAATCCCTTATTGCTAATGCAAAAGTCATTTTGAGGTTCTTTTTGTAACGTTGTTAATATTTCATTTTTCTAAAATCAAGACAGTATTTTTTCAATACACTTACAAATATTTATTAGGTGAATAAAATAAAAAAATATTTCAACACAAATTGCATTACCAACAAATGTCATTCTTCAATATTTTAAATTGCGTTTTCGATTTCTCACATTAGAAAAACTGTTCACTCTCTGTGAATCAAGTAAAAGCAGTAACTGGGTTGTCATGCATGGTACTTCAATATAGATTGTACAGTATATGTCTTGGCAAATGTATTATAATATTTGTGTTTTTCGTTTCAGTTGAAGGGAAACTTAAATTTGACTTAAATCTCGAGAATATTCCTATATGCTGTCGTGTCCAAAGCCCATTTCTGCTCATCCTGGGCCTGTGTGCGTAGTTGTGTGACATGACCGTGGCGAGGACTGTCCGCGTACTCATCCCTAATCAAATTCCCGCATGTCACGCCTCTGCAAAAGTCAGCAAAAACTTTGAGCGATTCTCATCATTGAAATTGGCAATTGTAACCTGCCAGGTGTTTTCATGAATGGTGTGCAGGGACTATAAGAATAAATACTGTGCTAATAGTCTAGTTTGGTTTTGTTTTGCTTAAAAAGCCTACGGAACTGAAAATACTCTAATCATTACAATAGTGTCAGAGTATTGCATTGCAATGGAGTGTGCTGTTTTTGGACTTCAGATGCTCAGCAAGATACATTATTTGGTTATGAATATTTTGTTTATCTTCAGGTTTTATGTTGGCACATTCAGTACAGAAAATAGAAAAAATGAGTGGGAAAACTAGAGCACCACTGAGTCATGGCTGTCCCTTCTCTGCAGCTTTCAAACACAGATTGCATGATATTCAGATATTCTGTGTTCCTCTGTCGGGCTGAAGAAAGAAACCAAATGAGTTAACAGCTCAAAAAATGCAGCTGGGTTCTCAGAATGTGAATGAAGTTTATGCTGAGTGATCTCAAATGGGGAATTGTGCAAAAAAAGAAAAAGGAAAACAATTTTGAATCAACAGCATCTGTCTTGTCCCCGTGCCCACGCTAGGGCCTCTCCTGTGAGACTGTGCTCAGGTGTGTGGCAGTGGGCTGTCTTCCAGGGGATGCTCAGGTGTGCAGAGACACTGCTGACAGATAGCCAGAGCACTGGCCAGACTCACAGCTCAGCCATATTGTGCACAGTGTGTGGGAATAATTCTCCAGCATCACTTCAGCACCCTTTGAAACGAAATATCTGCCTTTTGTGTTCCTGTCCTCATTGGGACTTGTGTGCCCGGCAGCCAGAGAAATATGTGTTTGAGTGTAGTGTATTTTGTGCTTTGTGTTTTTCTGTTATGAAATTTCTGCATCACCTGGTCCTGCTATAAGCAGCCTCCTTCTTAAATACTCAAAGAATAAAGAAACAGTGGAAGAAAAACCTAGAGAGAGTCTAACTGCAAAATGTCTGAACTCTCCTGTAAATGATCTGTGCTGCTTGTAGCATTCCTGGGAGCTTTCTCTCTCCCCCCCAAGAAAAAAAAACAGCAAAATCAAATGAGTAAGTGCAGAGTGAGGATTCAAAGACAGAGCGCTACGTTTTCATTTTCACACGGAGACACATGAATACGCGAGTCTTTAAAATCTGCAGAGAAGAAGAGAAATGCTGAGATTTGGGTGAGATTAAAATGCTGCGCTTTATAAATGTGCTTTTCACCAGCAGGCTGTGGAGACATTAATAACTGCAGGAGGTGGAAAGGCGAGGATAGTGGGGGTCGCATTGAGTCGGGGTGGGGGCTCTTTTCTCAGTAGCTACAGACTGAGAGAAGAGAATCGCTGCAGCACCTCACTCCTGAACCTTACCTTTCTGCCCCCCCACCCCAGGTAATGGGACTCAGTATTGCTATGCTGCTCTTAAGTGGAGTGATACTGTAGGTTATTACTCTGAAGCAGCTGCTTAAACTTAAAAGGTTCTCTAATGGGCTGAATTCATCTGTCTTGCTCTATTGGCCTATATCGTGCAGACCCAACTCCATGCACCCTCGGCCTTCTCTGCTAACTCTTTCCTGCCCGAGTATGTCCTAATGTACAGTAGCTGTCGCGACCCCTGCAGGGTCTCTGTCTCTCTCGCTCATTGATCTGCAGATGCAGTGTGCATGGAAATCAGGCAGAGTGGACTTTTCTTCCCGAAAACTCCCACTGGAAAAGAAGTGCTCAGCTGGGGTTTGATCTCTCTGTATCGGAGGAGACTGAATAGCGCTAGGCACACCTCCAGCCTGCCCCTCCCTGCATGTCCTCGTTGCTATGCCACGGGCTCCTGCTCCCCTCTTTCATGTGGTCAGGACAGCACTGGAAGAAAGAGAATTAGATAGTGGAGGTGTGATTGATTTATTAATGAGGTAAGGGGGCACGTCCAGAGTCTGTAGATGGAAGAAGAAGGATGAGAGACGATGGATGAGGGCTATGGCTGCCTTTAGCTCCTGGTGTCTTCCACAGCCCCTTGCTGCTCTTCTTCTGGACACTGGTTGTGGAGGGAACACCTGCTGGTTTGACGTGGCTGTCACAGATCGCTCTCCTGCCCCCATCAAGCTCACAATTTGACCCCCATGGCAATCATTGACCCCTAATCATGGAGGGTGAGCTTTCCTCTTCCTGCTCACAGCTCCCTACCTGTCCTCTCTCAAAGCTGGCTGTCCCATTTCCAGCCTCCTTTGCACCTCTTGTCTCCGGCAACACGGGAAACCTCTAAACCAGCCGGGGCGGGCAGGCTCGTAGGGATACAGAGAAGTGGACCCAGCTAGTCATTGAGATGAGCAGCCAGTGCGTGGGAGCTCGGTGTGCCAAGGGTGGAGAATCCACATGTCCACGCCTGTGCCAGGGAGGCTGAAGGGGCAGCAGGCCTGTACTGGAAGGTGGCAGAAACCGGTATTTTAGGTGGGTTTTGGAGGAGACGGT